TGGGTTTGAACCGTGGGTGAAACAATAGCGAGGAGACAGGCCCGAATCTGAGCGTCAACAATATGCCATGATTCATAGGCGGAATTGGGCTTCATAACCGGGGATTCATCCTTCCCCGGTGCCGCAGCCTTCTCATCGAGAATAAGAGGCGGAGGAGATGGTTCAGATCCATCCACATAACCGAGAAGACGATGAGCGAGGAGATTTGCACGGACGGTGGCCGACCAAGAGGGATAATTGGTGTCATCAAGCTTGACCGGAGTTAGAGATTGAAGATTCCGGACAAACAACTTGAGTCCCGTAGGAAGACGATCCATCGGATCAGAGGATACAGGAGCCATGGCTGAGCACGACTTGAACAAAGAAGAAGAAATCGGCAGTGCCGAAAAAATTTCGGTGATTAACGCAGCAAAGGGGAGAGACACGGATCTTTGTGCTCTGATACCATGTTGATTTATGAATTCACTCTTAAAGAATAATTGTGTACAAGGATGTTTATATAGGTGAGGATCCCTACATGGACTAGGATTCACCAAATATGTAAACTAACATAAATACAATTCTGCTATAACTAGACTTCTTTCCATATATGTCTAACACATACTATTAGGAATAATAGATATATTAAGAAATGTAATATTATATTATTTTCATTATTACATTACTTCTTTATTGTATTGTTACTACTATTCTTTTCCTACTTAGAATAAACTTTTCTTTTGTAATCTCAATATATTGGGATGTATCATTCATTATTCATCAGTAAGATCAACTTTATCCAATTTTATCATGGTATCGGAGCTAAAGTTTTAAAAACCTAGCCTTTTCTTTTCTGGATGAGCACATTGTCAGTCTCTGTTTATGGCGGTCAATCGTCCGACAGCATAGCATCACTGACCGATCTCGACGAGCGTGCCTAACCGTCATTGTCCATTATTCCTTTCATTCTCTCTAAAGTATACATTCTCTCGCTCTCTCTCTTCCAAAAAAATTATGTACGTGATCGAAAAAACAAGGAAGTTACATTTGTTTATGTTTTTTAAAGATCGAGAGCATGGAAAGCGTTTGAGAATAAGGGAACGGTGCAAAATGAGAAAAAACTCCTCGCCCCTGCTATAATCACCAATACTCTCATCGGAAAAACTCAGCAAATGTAATCTCGAGCTCTTTTATTATGCAACGATATGACTCTCTACTTCTTAAGGCTATCCTCATAGAACTGCTTATTTTGCTATCTCACTTCCAGTACCTATACTCCAAGCTTCTCCTCGTTACCGATGATCAACATGCGGAGAGATATTATGAAGGATAAATGTATTAGGAAATAGAATATTATGATTTATTACCTTTTTTTATTACATTACTTCCTTATTGTATTGTTACTATAAATCTTCTCCTACTTATATTAGAATTCTCTATTTTAATCCTTATATATAGGGATGTATTCTTCATTATTTAATAAAACCAATTATTATCAAATTGTATCAATTACATGCTACAAAATTACATCAACTCTTTAATCAATATCAATATCAATACTATTCTTAAAAGCAGGAGAAATTTGGTCATTCATTTTCCCTCCTAAACGCATGTACATTGTGAACCATCGGTTAGCGTCATAATCTTGATCCGCAACCATTATATATTCATCTTTGGAACGTTTCCATGTATAATTGAACGTAATAATTAAAAATGTTTACATGTGTAATAATTAAAAATAATTGTGCATATAGTTTCTAGTCCTATTAGTAATTATTCTCATTGAAAGTTTAAATCAAACAATGTATTTTAGAGTATAAGACTATAATGTATTTAGTCAAATTAAGTTGGGACCCGTTGACCTGTAGAACTTATTGATTTCAAACAAGTTGGGTTAGGTTGGTCCCAATTTTTAATTTTTGCCAGCCCATTCTGATCCAGCCTCTCTATATAAGCAAGCTGGGTCGGGCCGGGCTTGAGGAAAATTGGATCGGATCGCCCGTGCCCACCCCTAAATTCTGATGGTAAAATTGGTTACCTAATAAATTTAGGCGAATATAATTTGAATTGAATATTGAAAATCACCAATATGATTAAGATTAAAAATTAAGGTCACGCGGGTGTTGTCGCACACCAGATGGTCTCGAGGGTTAAAACGTGTGTACGAAGGTCGATGACCTGCTGGTGAGAGCCTGCGAGGCCTTAACCCCCTCCATTGAGAGATCTTTGGAGTTTGAGCATGGTTCCTGGTCAGAGGTTGGATCCTACGACTCTCATTAGGAGCTATATGTTTTCTGTATGTTGGACTCCCCAAAAAAGAGATTGGGTCCCAGTCACCAAGGCATGGCTAAGTATGGTGGCACTGTAATGATCTTCACTGATGAAGTGTCGTAGAAGAGAATAGATCCCACAAAGGCACAAGCTATCTGATAAGATGGAATGTGCGTGGTGGAAAACAAAAGTGAATAATAGGGAGTAACCTAGATGAGGTAGACTTGGACTACTAGAATAAGATTTAACTAAACAAAAATAGACCAGTATGAGTCCCCTAAAAATTTAAAGCATTGTTATTAAATCTGGACCAGATTGAGCGGTCCATCTGATCGAATCACGACCCGGACACAACCACTCCAATAACGTGCCCCTAAGAGCATCAGCAGCGGCGTGGAGATGCATTCCCACGCCCTGCCATCTCAGCATCTTTGGTCCATTGCCATGCGCGGAGATGGAAATTCTCCTCCATTACCGTGTCATCCGCGAGGCATTCTTGTTCCTATTTTTCTTTTTCTTTTTTTTTTTCATTTTTTCCATTTTTGGTAAGAGACTTTTAAATGATTTTTTAAATGAAGTACTCCTAATAACCTTTTTTATGATAAAATAAATAAAAATAATAATTTCAAATAATCAAAATATTTAAAGAAAAATAAAAAGTGAGAAAAAAGTATTGTCATTTTATTTGTTTGCATCAAAAAAGAAGTTTTTTTTAAAAAAAATAGTAGAAGTACAATTATGAAAAAAAATAAATTAAATAATTTTGAGTTAAAAGAAATACAGAGTATTTTTGTGATAAAATAAATAGGTTAAATAACTTCAAATAATTCAAATATGGAAAAAAACAAAAAAAAATAATAAAAACACTACTTGCCACTGTAGAGCACACCACTCCACTCCCTTGCTACTTGTTGACTGGACTACTTTTTATTGATTGAAATCTTCCAAAGTCAGCGTGTGGCATTCCATTTTTGCCTCATCATTGCTCATGCTCTAATAACTACGAGAACCGTGCCGTCCCAGATCATTTTAAGAATTGGAAATAGAGTAGAGGGGATTCCTAACCCAATGAAAAGGCGTCAACCAAACGCCCAGACCCTGGACTCGGATGCGATGCAATGCAGGATTGATGACCCAAATTGTAAAAAGATTGTCGAGCGAAATCTTTCCACCATTTTCAAACCTCAATTGTCCCAACTGCTTATGTGCTGCAATCCACCTCCACTTCACTCTTCTTGCTGATAACCTTGCTGCACTCCCATGGCGAATCCGAAATCCAGCCCCAAATCCGACCCGGAATCATCCAAGTCCAACTCCCGAGCTGTTCTCAAGTTTCTTGCTGAGTTCAGCCCTTCAGATTCCAATTCCTCTCAAATTCGATCGCTTGCAATCTTCACGCTTTCCGATTCCCAATCCGTAATCTACCTCGGCACGACTTCAGGCTCTTTAGTTTCTGTATCTGTAGACCCTAATTCTCCCAGCACCCACTCGGCTCTGGCATATGACCGCCAAGTCACTGTGGGTGCTAGTCCTGTAAATTCTATACACGTGATAGAGGATATTGGCGAAGTAATTGCCCTGTGTGATGGATTTCTTTACTTGGTTGATTTGCTTTTGCTCGAACCTATCAAGAAACTCAGTCTGATAAAGGGAGTAACTGTATTATGTCGGAGACTCCTAAGTAGGAGTCTAACCTTTAATAGAGACAATGTTGTGCACCGATCCAATGATATGAAACTGAAAGAAGAGGGCTGCTTCTTTGCGGTTGCTGTCGGGAAGAAATTAATTGTGGTTGAGTTGGTTTTTGGTGGTTCTTTAGTGATTTTGAAGGAGATTCAGGGTTTCCCTGAGGGTTCTATGGGTTTAGCATGGGTGGATGATTCAATATTTGTTAGCACTAGAAATGGGTATTATTTATATTCGTACTCAAGTGGTCAGGGAGGGCTGTTATTTTCTCTCCCTGATTCGTCTGGACCGCCTTTGATGAAAGTATTGTGTAAGGAATGCAAGGTTATGCTAATGATGGATAATGTATGCGTTATTGTGGATGCTGAAGGTCAGCCTGTTGGTGGCAGCTTGGTGTTTCGTGAAGCGCCAGATTCAGTAGGAGAGGTAGGGCCATATGTGTTGGTGATTAGAAATGGGAAGGTAGAACTTTATCATAGAAAGTCTGGAAATTGTGTGCAGCGAGTTCCATTTGTGTCTGAAGTAGGTACTCGGGGTATTTTGGCAGATGAAGGCAATGGAAAAGGACAATTTGTTGCTCTGGCAACAGGCTCCAAGGTAATTCATTTACTTAAGAGTACAGCTAGAATTGATTTGTTTAAGATTTACATGATAGCGTTTACCCAAAAAGATGATTTAACTTGGCCTAGACACCAAAATGATAATTCTCGAGAGAATTGCAGTAAATGTAAGACAAATCTATATGGGATTGTACTGTGATGCCAGGTCATATGTTTCCAAAAGGTATCATCTGAAGATCAAACTAAGGATCTACTGCGCAAGAAAAACTTTAGCGAAGCTGTATCTTTGATGGAAGATCTCTGGAATGAAGGTGAAATTACAAAGGATATGCTATCCTTTGTCCATGCTCAAGTGGGATTCCTTCTGCTGTTTGACTTGCAGTTTGCAGAAGCAGTTGATCATTTTTTGCTTTCAGAAACCATGCAACCATCTGAACTCTTTCCATTCATCATGCGGGACCCAAATCGATGGTCTCTGCTGGTATGTGCTACTTTTTTAATGATGGATGTGTAAAGAGTTGCATCATACATCTGCATGTTGCATGTGGCGTATATATATATGTATGTATGTATGTATATGTATATATGTATGTGTGTATATGCTAGACCTTATTTGAGTCCTGGCTGTTGGTGGTAGTATAATATGCTAGACCTCATCTTTTAACTTTTGTAACTTTTTGTGAGCGAACTTGTTCAGTTTTCACTAATAATCCAAATAGTAGTTCAGTTGAAATTACATTAACTGTGAAACAGGTGTTTATCTTAAATATAAATATGAGAAAGAAGGGATCACTACTTCTTGCTAAATGATTCTGTAAGAATGCTCATCTCCAGTCAATTTGGGATAAAAGTGAGGGGACTATATGTTAACTAGATGAAATCATTAGTTAGCATTTGGTATATGACTATATGTGATTGCTAATTGCAAGTAAAATAAAAGACATCCAGACAAGTGCAGTTCATATTATTTAGGAACCTTTTCATTCTTGTGATGAGTATGTATCATGCTTACAAACAATAGTTCTGATTAACTATACCCTACTTATATATCCTTGCATGCATGGCCTTTTGTAATGTCTTACTTTGCTTGAATGCTATTGTTTTTAGTACTCTTATTTTTTTTGTAATAGTTAATTGTTTGCGTTTGATAGAGAGTGCAATTGTTGTCCAGGTTCCAAGGAACAGATATTGGGGCTTGCATCCTCCTCCTGCACCTCTTGAAAAGGTTGTTGATGATGGATTAATGGCTATTCAAAGAGCTATTTTTCTCAAGAAGGCAGGTGTTGAGAGTACCGTGGATGAAAATTTTCTCTTCAACCCTCCAAGTAGAGCTGGATTACTAGAGATTGCTGTTAAAAACATGACCAGGTATTTTTTCTTTGCCTAAAATCACATTTTGATATGAAAAGTTGTTCTCTAACATTGCATAGCAAAGTAGGAGAAATGGTTTTCACTTTCCAAATGGAAAAGAAAACCTATTGAACTAGATGTCCATTTTTTCATTAAAGATTCCATGTTCGTAAATTCCTTTGCGAAGCTTAAACAATGCTTTTTTCCTTCCTAATTCCAAGATCAAATGCAGAAAATATGCCATTTGAATATTTTTCAAGCAAAATATTTATTGTTAGGCAGTTGGTAATGATGTCCAAAATGTTTCTGATACGTTGCATACTTGAATGGACTTGGAATTGCAGTACAGTTAAAATTATTTTGAATGGACAATTGTTGCCCCGGTTTCCTTTGATTAAGAGTTCTCAATTTTTTTTTAAGTTTCTTAAATGCAAAAGAGTTAAAAGTTTTGGTGCATCACAACTTTTCTCAATTGCTTCAAATGGGAGTTTCTCAAAAAAAGATGAGCTTTCCCCCTTATTTGGGCCATTATGTATTTTTTCATTGTAGCTTAGTTGGCCCAAACAGTCTCCGTTACAACAACAAACAATTGATATTCCTCTTATTAGTTTGTACAATTGAACATAAAATTATGTGACTTTACTAGTTCACCATAGGAAAATGTGATTACATATCGATTATAGTGTTTGACTATAAACTATTTTTTAGTGAGTGCCCATTGTTCCCTTCTCAAATGCAATATTTGATTAGGATTGACATAATTCGGCGTTTTCCATTTTTTTTTGGACTTTTATGTTACAGATATTTGGAAGTTTCTCGCTTAAAAGATTCAGCTTTGCCAGTAAAAGAGGGAGTTGACACCCTTTTGATGTACCTCTATAGAGCCCTTAATCGCGTCGATGACATGGAAAAACTTGCATCATCTGATAATAACTACTGTGTAGTGGTAAGCCTGCCTAACCTTGCTAGCATTAATTTTTTTTTTAATTTACTATGTCCTTAAATAAACTACGTCATCACTTTTGGGCTTCGGAACACATTTTAAGAGAGTGGATATTGCGTGGTTGAAATTTATTTAGAAAGGAAAAAAGCATATCAACCACACAATTATTTTTTTAAAAAGAATTGAGGTCAAGGTGACCTCATTGTTATGAGATTAATGCAAACTCATTGTTTTGAGATTAAGGAAAACTCATTGATTTGAGATTAAGGTGGCCCCATTGATTTGAGAATGCGTGGTTATTGTATTTCTTATTGCTCTTTATATTGAAGAATTGGAGAGTTGAAGAATGGAAGAATGGAAGAATTGGAGTTTTTATAATAAATTTACATTATAACAATTTATTCTTTTTTCACAATTTTGTGGTCAAAGTTTGTAAAGTTTGACAAAGAAAAGTCAAATGTAAAGTTTTTTTTTGGGACGGTGTGAGTAACTCAAAATTTATAATTAATAAGTCAAACCATATGCTAAAATCATGCCATTGATGTCCTAGTGCATGTCAATCAAAAGTTGACAAACTAATTTGTACAACATAACTCGTAACACAGTCTATACAAACTATAAGATTGTAAATTTTCGATCATACAATTTTACGATTCAAATAGCAATCTTGTCAACCTTATGACAAATGATCAAATTTAGATGTGACTAAACTTCATCCTTGGATTTATAGACCTGCTTAACTGGTGGTTTGAACTAAAATGGACAGCGCAGGAGGAGTTGGAGTCGTTATTGAGTGAATCTGGGCATCTAAGGACACTTGCTTTTTTGTATTCCAGTAAGGGATTGATCTCTAAAGCTCTTGCCATCTGGTGTACATTGGCTAGAAATGCAAACAACATGAAAGAACTGGTTGGTGGAAATGTTCTTCAAGACAACTCCAAGTGTATTAACCCTGATCAAGAGACAGCCGTTGCTGAAGCCTCAAAGATTTTGGAGGAATCATCTGATCAAAATTTGGTATTGCAACATCTAGGATGGGTATGTACTCTTGTTTTCATTTGGTAGGACGGATGTCATCATTTTCTCTCTGTAGCATGTATATATATAGAGTAGCATGTATATATATAGAGTTTTTATAATTTATTGCTATGTTTCTCCATATTATAGTTCTTTTCATTCGATATTTGATTTAGATTTCAGATATCAATCAAGTTTTAGCAGTTCAAGTCCTCATATCTGAAAAACGAATGGTACTGTTCTCACCAGGTAGGTGTTTTGTTGAATATATTATGGAAGTCTATACTATATATCAATATACTATAACAATGCACTGCCCTATTAGTAATTGTTTACCATATACGGAGTGTTGTCAAGAGAAATACTCTGCATTGCATTATAAAGTCAATGACAATGTGAAATAGTATGAGCTGGCAAGTTAAATTGTATGCATGATGTTTTGACTTTCATAAGCCATACTGGTAAGAGCTTGATAGGTAATGTTTTCCGATGCCTATTTGAGGAGTTGTTGGAAGATTTTTGGGCAGGTGATGTGGATTTTTTTCCGCCCTATGATGAAGAATTAGAGAGAGGCACAACCTTGTCAAAATTCTAATAATGTTACTTGAATGCGGACTTCTATATTCCCTTTCTTTCATCCATTAAGTATACTCTCCAGCCTCTCCATCCTAAATTATAAGACTATTTTGCTTCTTGTGTGATGTTTTGATAAGAAAAAGTAAATTGTAGTTCACCTTCAGAAGTTGTCCATCTAGTTGGGCCAATTGTGTATGATAATTTCACAGACATAGAGAAAAGGTGAATTACAAATAATTAAGAAAAGTAAAGAGTTAGTGGTGTTAAGTCAGTAAAGTTGACATTATTTGGGATGGAGTAAAAATGAAAGTATGACAGATAAAATAGGATTGAAGGAGTGTATTTAAGGTATATGATAGAGGTCTCATTCAATTGGTAGACTGTTATTGAATTGTAATAGGACACTTTTAATCTAAATGAAAAGGACTGGGAGATAGAAGTCTAATGTGTTACTGATTGCTGCTGGGCTATTGTAGTCCTGCACCGGCAAGGAATTTCTTCTATTGCATCCGTCTCACATGCATTTTTTAGTAGACATATCTTGGGGCGATGGGGGGCTTGGGAGTAAGCCTCTCACATGGACACTGATATAATATTAAAAGGCCATTAAGAGTTGACCTTAATTAATGAGCATGTATGCACACAACAACAATTTCAGTCACTTGAATGTTATGTTATTTATGAATATCTAATAAATACAAATTAATTAGTATCCATTTTGTTCTCAATTATGATTTGAAATGTTGAATTCAAAAATAGGACTATAGCACCCTTCAACTTTTTTTAACATGCTTGTCATCATGCATTTACTTCAATCTTTCAATTACAGATGAAGTGATAGCTGCAATTGATCCAAAAAAAGTGGAGATTCTACTCAGGTAGCCCCTATTTGTGAACATTTAACTTGCTTAAAGTGTTGAATTTTGACATCTCCCACCATTGCATTTGTAGCGTTTAGCTATGTGTAAGATCTTGTAAAACTATCTTTTGCTTATGCTTTTTAATCACGCCTTCTATAAGATGCTTAGATATTGATGATTTTCATGAGATTTATACTCCAATTCACAATTTTGAGTTTTCTTATATGATTTACATGCAACAATTCTTGGCTAATAGTTGTGCTTTGTTATCTTTAGTGCTGTTTGGTAAGTGTTATTTGGCTGAAACTGCAGATAATGTTCATTCTGTTGAACTTTTTGGAAGGAGAAATGCTTTGAAAAATATCCACTTCAGCTAAATAGTTAAGTCAAAAGCTACCAAACAGAGCCTTAAACAGAATAAGCCAATTATGGCTACCAAACTGATCCATATTGCTGATGCTTGAGCAGCTAAACTGTTCTAAATATCTTTTTTCATATAACACTATCACCATAGTTGTTATGCCGGCTAGGCGTGGCTGGGCACTGGAGTACCTTCTAGTTGCCTAGGCGTCCATTTGGCGAGTGCATTATGGCAATATTTATGTGTGTGTGTGTATGTATATATATAGTGTATATATAGATAGAGAAAAATGAATACATATACATAAATATACATACATATGTATGTATGTATGTATGTATGTATGTATGTATGTATGTATGTATGTATGTATGTATGTATGCATGCATGCATGCATGCATGCCACCAGTTACTGAAACACCAATTGCTTATACCAATTTGTTTGTGGCAGCTACAGTGCCCTATTGGATAAAATGGTGGTTTCTACACTAGTTACTTATACACTAATTGCTTCTCCAATTTGTATGTATGTATGTATTTTAACAAGGGAACTTTATTAAAAGAGAGAGGAGTCACGTCAGGCGGTTACAAACATGATGGATCTTGCTTGCTAAATATTCCAAGTGATAACCCCTGGCAGAATTAGTCGCAGACAACCTTTGAACTTCTTCTCATTTCTGTAACCCTCGGTAAGACCCTGCGGTACAGAGGGGCCCAATAACAAAGGAGCTAAAGTAGTGCCTAACTTGTGTACTAAGGGAGGAATAAAGTAGGGAGTGGTTCAATGAGTCTTCATACCTTTGCAGAGAGTGCAGCAACTAGGGAGGGAGTAGCCAAATCTTTGCAAGTTGTGAGGGAATGGTAAGGCTTTGTTTAGAACTCTCCACTGAAACATCTTAAGCTTGGGAATTTGAGTCTTGTGCCACATGTACTTTTTGGAGGTTAAATTTGGGTAGCCCATCTCCCCCACTATGAAAGCTCTCTTGAGGGTGAATGAACCACTATCCCATGACATTCCCATCTCATCTCTGGAATTGTAGGTCTCCCCAATGTCATTGATTCTACTGAATCTCTTCCAAACATGGGAGTCTGTTATCCTTTCTTTGATAGTGCCTGACTTCAAGTATTTACCTCTCATGAAAGAAGCCCAAATGCCTTGGTCATTATGGATCTTCCCCCATAGCTTTAAGGAGTAAGCTTCTTGAAGTCTTTCAATGTTTTTGAGGCCCAAACCCCCTACCTCAGTAGGCTGGAAGATTGAGCTCCATCTTTTCCAGTGATATTTAGGTTTACCTTGCTTCTGCCCCCAAAAGAAGTTGGCCATGGAGTTTAGGGCATTGATGATGGATTTAGGGATGGTGTGGACAACCATAATATGTAACAAGATAGAGAAGAGGACATGTTTGATAAGGATCAACCTCCCCATTTGGTTAATGGTCTTGCTATACCAGGAATTGATGTGCTTGAAGAAATGATCCATCAACCTTGTACAGTGTTCCTTCTTGAGTTTCCCTTTTACAGATTAGGCTGGATTAGGCTGTGCATGGCGATGTCCTCGAGGCAATGAAAGGCGTTCGCCATTCTCGTTGTGTCTTATGGCGTTTGGCGAGCGCAATTATTGCCATACACATCTGTGCAACTTTTTTTCGCTGTTGAGCCTTAAGAATTGAATGGATTAATGAAATTGGTCTTAAGCCCGTTTGTAATTACATGATTTGATCCGTTGCCTTTAGTCAATTTATCCATTATCTTAATCGATCGTATTCCCTTCCCCTCTTCCGTCTACTTCCCCTATCCTCTCTTCCAATCAACCATCGGTTGAGCTTCTCAGCTTCGACTCTGCTCCCACTCTCCGAAGTCGCTGGTTCATAGCGTCTCTCCTTCCCAGAGTTGTAACTTCCGAGCGTCCCTCCTTGGTCAGCGACTCAGTGCAGCAGCATCAAGCATCAAGTCACTAAGGATATTATTCTTAATTTTTTTAATTTGTGTATTATTTAATATTAATATTAATATTAATATTAATATTAATATTAATAGTTACAATTTCTTTAGTCTAATATTTACCATTATATTTTCATCTTGTGTATTAATCTTTCAATTTACTGTTGAAGACTTTTTATATGCCCTGTATTATATATGTGTGTGTGTGTGTGTGTGGGTGTGGGTGTGTGTTTGTATTTATTTATATTCGCTTTTTATTTGTTCGCCATTTGACCGCCCGCCACTCGCCACTCGCCACAAAAAACGTCCTCTCGCCCGCCACTTGCCATTCATAACTATGCCAAGTAGGTAAAAGGGAGCTTTCCACACTTCATGCCTAGAGCTTTTTCCATGTTATGAATAATGCTTGGAGGTGTCTTACTGTTGGTGTAGAATCTGCTTTTTGAGCAATCTATTTCCTGTCCAGAGGCAAGGAGATATTCTGCAAGGGCCTTCCTTAGTTTGAGCAGATTCTTGGTTTCTCCCTTGGTAAAAATAATGAGGTCATCTGCAAGGGGGTAAGACCCGAGTTCGATAGGCAACTATGCTAAACATAGAGTCTCTATAAGTGCCAGGTGCATACTCTACTCTTTGCCACCAATCTGCGATTAAAGTCCAATTTACCTCCTCTCATCTAAGGGGGCCCTCGAGGATGGGACTCATCCTTTTTACAAAAGCACTCAGAAAGAAACATAGAATGATCACACATTGTTAAGCACAAAAGCTACTGCCATACTACCCAACTATCCTAATTCTCTCTCCAAACACCCCTATTTAAGGTCTTAGCTAACCACGTCTTTCCAAGTCCTCTTAGGTCTTCCCACATACACACACACACACACACATTTACACACACACACACACACAGAAAAAATGATCAGATAAATGTTGCTTTTAAAAAAAAAGAGTTCCTCATTGCCTTAGGTGTTTTCAGGCGAGCCTAAGGCGAGCGCCCCATTGCCTTAGCTGTTTTCAGGAGGCGAGTCCATAAAACTGCACAGACGCCTAGGCGACGCCTTGATAACTATGACTATCACTCGCCTAATGAGAAAGGATAAGATTACAGGATAAAATCGTTCTCCTGCTATTGTTGTTTTTATTCTTTTCAATGTGTCTGGCAAACATATATCAGTCCAGAGTGACACAATTAACGAAGTTGTTTAGAAGAATAAAGTCCACTTTGTCTGTAGAACCTATCTCTCCAGTGACAGGGATTTCAGTATCTGCTGCTTCTATCAAATCATAGTGAAAAGAATTCATCCTTCTTTGTGCAGGTATCTCCAGTGGTTAATTGAAGAGAAGGAGTCAGACGACACTCAATTTCACACAACATATGCTATTTTGCTTGCTAAGTCGGCTCTTGATGCTTATGAAATGGAACATGTGTCGAAAAGCAATGTAGGGAATCCTATCTTTGAGAGTCATGTCAGAGAGAGGTTGCAGATCTTCTTACATTCGTCTGACTTGTATGATCCAGAAGAGGTCCTTGATTTAATTGAAGGATCTGAACTGTGGATGGAGAAGGTACAATGTTTCTCTTATGCTCATACTACACTTGTTCTACTATGGCGGCAAAATGGCCTAGATTTATAGATTTGTTTATGAGTACTACTCTGTTGCTTGGTTGTTTTTCTGATAGGCTATTCTTTACCGGAAGCTTGGTCAGGAAACATTAGTGCTACAAATTTTGGCTTTGTAAGTATGTAACCATAATTCATTGTCTGTACTTATTGATAGTTTACATTGATAGAGAGCGATCTAGATGTGATGTGATTCTGGAGGGAACCTAAGCAGTTAGTTAATTGTATTGTATGATGTTTATTTAAATCTCATTTCTTGATAGAAAGCTAGAGGACTGTGAGGCTGCAGAACAGTATTGTGCAGAGATTGGTAGATCAGATGCATACATGCAGTGAGCACATCCTAGTTCCTACCATTTTTGCTCTCTCATTTTTTTTGCTGGAGAAGTCTGCTTAATTTTTGTTGTTAGGTTACTTGATATGTACTTGGAACCCATGAATGGCAAGGAACCCATGTTTGCAGCTGCTCTTCGGCTTCTACATAACCATGGAGAAATTCTTGATCCATTTCAAGTCTTGGAGGTATATATATTTTTTACTTCTTACAGAGCCTTTTCTTTTTTTAATCACAAGTCCTAACTTGTTTTGATGGTCTTGTTTGCAAACAACAAAACACTGCTTCTCAACTCCATTCTATGTAACAGTACCTTCATTGGACCTTATATTTATGACTTTATTTCAACATTAAATCTTTACAAATGCTACATATGTGGTTTATGTCTGCAGAAATATGCCCTCCCTTCCCTCCACCGCCCCCCAAAGGCCACCTCAAACTATCAGTTGAGGCTAAAAAACACCAGCATATTCCCTATTCACAAATCTTAGGGGCCATTTGGTGAGCGTAGGAGATATGGGGTTTCATATCTCCCAATATCAGATTTCTTTTTTGGTGTTTGGTGATGCATAAAAAGAATTTGAATTCGATATTTCCAGATATTGCAAATCTTCCAATGGAGGGTTTCGATATCTCCCGAATTTGGGAGATATCAATATGGATGTTTTTATGTCTCTTTCAACCATCGACCATCCCCCGCCACTAACACTGCCATCACCAACCACCCCGTTACCGGCCACCCTCGCCCATAACTAATTAAATCATGATTTTAAATGTTCTTCAAACAATTTCATTTTAGATTTCAAAATTCATATCATTTCTCCCATATTTCAAAATCCATATCATATCATATTTCCAAAACTCACCAAACAGGTCCTTAACCTTCAATTTTTTACTCTTCACTTGATAAAATGCATGAAAGCTTTTCCTCTGAATTTCATCCTCCTCTAGAGAGACATTGCTAGAGAGTTCAAGTGTATTTTTAATTTACTCCGGTACATATTTGCATCTGTTTGGGTAGAAGTCGTTGGTGCCCAAGAAATTTACATGAAAATTTCACCCCACTATTAAAAAACACTGTGTCTCACGATTCTCATTTCATTTTCCCTTTGCAATAAGGTTGCGGCAGGAAAGAAATCCTGCATTCAACTCTGCCACTTCATTAGTAAGATGAGAGGATATGTACAATTGGCTTCATACTAGGAATACTAGCATCTATTAAATTTGATGAATTAGTTCAAAACTTCCAAGATGAGAATATAGATGATGCGCTAGACACTACAATGTAAGCCACTTTTTGGCAGGATAAAAATCAATTCTATTCTTTCGCATCTTAGCCAAAACATTGTTATAATATTATATTGGATTGGAGATTTGCAGGTATTTGCATTTTTGTGTTGAAAACAAGCTTATAAATTACTAGCTCCATTGTATTCAACCATTTGACTTCCGGATTCAAGTTTGATGAACTTTGACCTTTATTCGTCTAAAAAAACATTAAATAATACTTCCTCCGTCCCACTATATTTGTCCACTTTCAATTTTGCACACCATCCAATACACTTCTTTAATCCATTTTATCTTGTAATTTGTATATTAAAAAATTATAGAAATTATATATTAATAATCTATATGTTAAGACAAATCAAAACAAGATCACGCATGACTATATTTAGGCTTACACATTAAGAGAATTTGATGAGTCAAAGTGCTTAGATGAACAGTTCCAAAAGTCAAAAGTGGACGAATATAGCGGGACGGAGGGAGTAGTTAGAAAATGGTGAAACATTCATTTAGGAGACTGAAAAGGACAATTTAAACTATTGCATGGGGATGGAGGGAGTATAATTAACATGTTTGACTTGTAATGTTCCAAGTGTACTCATTTCTTCCATAGCAACCTTTCAAGTTTACTAGTGCTATTTATTCTTAGAATTGTTAGAAGTGGATAATTTTCTGGGTTGTTTTCTCTGTGAGTTGGATGAAGGGAGGGCTTTAAGTTACATGATCATTCACAACGTCTGATTACAGAACACCAGAGATCAAAGGGAAACACTTGTGATGCGTAGGATGTAATTTGTTTTGCAGAGATTGTCACCTGATATGCCCCTTCATCTTGCCTCAGAGACAATATTAAGAATGTTGAGAGCCCGTCTCCACCACCACCTGCAAGGACAAGTATGTTTTATTGTTAACTGATTAAACTTTTAAGCTTCTCTAGATTGTTAACATAATAACATTCAATTAAGTGCATAAATCCATTTTCTTTTTATACGGATTAATTCCTTTGCCAAACTTTTATTTATTTGAACGACATGTCTATATTGTTTGCAGTTACACATTGTCTTTCATTTATATCTTGAGAAAGATAGTTGTATCCAATTTCGCATTCACTAGTGTTTAAAACTGGAGCTCACTAGATAGAGTTAGACTGCAACACCTTTTCTCAATTTCTCCATCTTTTGATGTCACAGTGTGTGGTTAAATACTTAATATATCGCACAATGGGGATAGAGAAATTTTGAGAAAAAATTTATAAGATTCTTTTATAGAAAGGTTGCTAGCTTATTCCTTATGCCCACCTCACCCGATTTGCTTTTTCTTTTCTACTCAACCATATCTTGTCATCTCTTGTTCCAGATGGTACTCTCCTGAAATCTCTATCCTATATGACATAGGGAGTATTTTAGAAACTTAGATTCTATTTATTGCTTATTTTAAGCTGCTTTTACAAGTTTGGTGTTTGATAAACCAACTTAACTTTCTACGTATGACTTTTTTTAGCAAGTTAAACTCTATAAGCTGAAAGATAGTATATACCTGCTTATTGTTTCTTGCTTATTTTAAACATTTAAATCTCATAAGCTAAAAGCATGTGCATCATGTACGGCTGTACTTTTGTATTTTAATAAGGGGGTCTCTTTGAAACAACCTCTCTACTTCCACTTCTAACTTCTAAGTAGGAATAAGATCCGTGTACACTCACACTAAGTCAGACCCTACTTTGTGTAAGATTTTATTGCGTTTGTTGTTGCAAGTCAAAATGAAGTACATACCTCCTTATTGCTTTTGTAGAAGAAGTTGAAAACGTTCCCATAGACTTGCTATGAGAATGTACATTTACGTATGTTGATATCTCTAACATGTGACTATCTAAAAAATAAAATTGTTGGGGTTCTGTTCATAAAATGCTCTTTGAATTCACATTTTATATGATGTTTTTCACCCTAATACCCAACCCAACATGAATTTCATAATTTTTCACTTAATTACGTTGTCCTGCACTTATATATGCTGAATTCTGTAAATATGTCTTTCTAGTAACTATTATAATCCCTTCATTCTTTATAAAAGGTATCTTTTAGAAGTTTTGAAAGCTTCTTTTTTTCATCCCTCATCGACATTGCATCTAGTACATTGTGTATCTTGGAGCCTTATATTCTACCTCAAAAGCATATCCCATAACAACAAAAATCCCCAGTTTATATCCACAAGTGGGCTATGGGGAGGGTAAGATATAGCACACCCTTTCTCTACCGTGAAGGGCGCAGACTGTTTTTGATAGACTCTCTGGTTCAAAAGAAATAAAGTTAAAGTGTGCTGGCAACAGAAGTGTTGATTAGATAATAGCAAGCAGCACAACAAGATCCACCACAAATGTAGTGGTACCCCAAGTTCACATACAAGTGAACATCTATGCAAACCCTAAAAACTACTCTGTACTAAACACACAAAAATGAGATGGAAGGGCTAGCCCCAATCTCTCAAATCAGCAATTTACTATCCCTTTATCATAATTCATAATCATCGACGTCAAAACTTCCTATCAAAGGCTATGCCCCTAGTCTCTTTGAGTTTATCCATGCCATCTCAAATACCGTCTCCCTAGTTCTTTGGGCTATGCCTCTACCTTTCCTAAGAAAATCCACGTTCATCGACTGCATGTTGTGATGCGGATGTTACGGTGGATATGTTGGAATGTGGGCAGAAGAGGTTGGATAGGATTCCAAACGAGGTTATCTGAAGTTGAGTAGGCATGGAACCTATGGAAAATGATAAGATGCCGAAGCCCAGTGTGGAGATTGAGGTTGTTTGGGCATGTGAATCGGCGGGATGTTGAAGCCCAGTGTGGAGATGCGAAAGGCTTACATTGGTGGGTGAGAGTAGGGTAAGGGGTAAACCTTGGAAGAATTGGAATTGATTAGACAAGACTTAAGACTTTCTTGTCCTTACTGAGGATATGACCTTAGATAAGAGCATTTGGAGAGCTAGGATTAGAGTAGTTGGGTACGCCTGGGCTATAGGGTAGTTTCCTGTGCTTGTTGTGTACTTTGTATGCTTGGTGGTCTCTGATTGCATTACTTTTCATTCGTTAACTCTAGTTTGTTCTTTGTCTCTGTGTGCTTTGTGCTTTATTTGTGTTTTCTCTGTTTTTTGTCGGTGCAACTTGAACCAGGGGTCTCACCCTCTCAAGACCCTACTCTCGTGGGATCGAAATGGGTTGTTGTTGAGGTGAAGCGGTTATCCTCTGTTCTATTCTGTAATAACTATGTGTCGGGTAAAAAATGATTGTTCGGGTAAGAAATTGTCTGCACACAAGTAATGCGGACAATGTCTAATAGATTGAGCCAACCTACCAAGTTCCCATTCATTGGCCGGCAATTTGTGGTGCCAATCTGCAATTTTTTTCTGTAGAAAGCAATCAGATTATTTTTTGCTGAAGGGTCGTTCCAATACTTACCCCAAATGCACCACATTCCACCACAATTTGATTGAGAGGCTGGATAGTGAAGAAGTGGGGTTTTTTACCATTGTAGATTTGAGTTCAAGAAATGCATCCGCTTCTTGTTTCCACTGATAAGTTTCTTTTTCAACAATTCTTCATTAGAGCTGCAAATGATTCATAATTCACGATAAATCTTAAGTTGAAACCTGTAAAGCCCAAGAACCCATGCAATCCTTTGATAGCTTTTGGATTTGGCCGCAACCACTCATTCCTTGGCTACACAATACCCCCACCCCCTCCCTTTTTTTGCTTTCTGAAAATGTACTTTGATTTTTTTAAGAATAAGTGAAGCTCTATAAGTTGGTCAAACAGTTGTGTGATGTGGTACACATGCTATGTTCATGTCTGGATGTGAATTAGCACATCATCAAAAAAAAACTGAAACAAACTTCTTAGCAAGAACAACAACATCAAGCTTGTTCAAAAGGCATTACTAAAAGTTTTTAGTGGCTGTGATGACGTGATGTGTTCAGAATGCCATTTTTGCGCACCCCTAAGATCCACTCAGACTTGGTGATATCCTGATAAGAGGTCTCACTTGATGAAATATTGAGCCCCATGTGACTAATCTACAACTTCATCGATTGAGTCGGAAATTCATCTTTGATTTATTTCAAGTTTAATTCTAGGTAATCTACAGAAAATCTATATGTGCCATTTTTCTTTGAACTAACAGTACCTGCTGGGAAGAATAAGGAGACACTGTTAGCCGGATGATGCCTTGCCTTGCACATTTCCTTTCAATTTCGTCTATCTAAAGTTGAGGGTGTCAATAAGGTGTCACTATAATTGAGTTGATTCTTGGATCAAAATTAATCCACTTGTCACAAGGGCAGAATCTGTCTTAGTGAGTTCATAGAGGTTGGTCTCTGCGCTCTTATTAATTAAAAGGAGAGATACAACTTGTTCATCCAAAAGTAACCAATTAATTAAGTAGCAATAAATGCTAGTGAACGAGAAATTACAATGAACACCAAAAAATACAATGAACACCGCCGTAACTATAATCTTCTTAGACAATGTCAAGGGAGTTTCAACATATGTACGTAACCATATGCTTCTTGGGTAGTTAACAAGTAGTAGAAATATCATTTGTGGATAATCTTCCAGCATCAAGGATTGCATCTGCTCAGCGCCTAATTAAAAGCTCATGCAGTGAAATCCCATATTATTGATCTGAAGGTTCGCTGCCAGCAAAAGCCTAAAACCACATCGAACCTGCCCATTGCCCAATGGGATTCTGAACGGATTGATGTTGATAGTCCCCCCCCCGGACTTCTTTCCAAATCCCCATTCCTTGAATACTCTCCCCTTTGGCCACTGTCACTCTTAGGTTGTTTCTCTTCACCTGCAGGCCCAACTTCATTACTAAAGATGTTGTGAATGCCACAGTTTGGGTTTCACTTGATTCCATTATTTTTTATGGCCCGAATGCGAAGTTGTTATGGGCTTGTGCAATCCATCGTGTAAAAGTAGTGTCTTGCTTCAATCTGCAAAACTTCCCTTCTGTGTTTCCTGTTTAGTTTTTTTACACTTTTTTTCTGCAAAATACATCTGCAACACATACGCCTTGATCTGTAACTTAATTACACTTGTGTCTTATTAAAAGGAATATGCAAGCGGGAACAAGGGGGGACACAATTGAGGACATAATATGTATGGGTAATGGGCTCTCACAATTTGTAGGGGCGGGTAAAAATACCGACCCAACATTGTTCCAAACAGGATGGATATTACTCCCTCCGTCCAAAAAAGAACTTCCCACTTTCCTTTTTCGTCCGTCCACAAATAAACTTCCCATTTCCTTTTTTGGAAAGTTTTTAATACTAAAAAGACTTAATTACCCTCCATTCACTCTCTCCCCTTATCTTTTTTCTCTATTCTCTCTCTCCCTTATCTTTTTTTTCTTCACCCAACCACACCTTTTTTTTCTTCTCCGTTCTTTTCCTCTTTTCTTCACTTCTCTTTCTTTTCCCTTTTCCTCTTCATCTTCTTTCTTTTCTACTTCTCCGTTCTTCTTCATCTTCTTTCTTTTCTCTTTTCTTCTTCTTCTTCCTTTCTCTTTTCTTCTTGTTCTTCCTTTTCTCTTTTCTTCTTCTTCTTCTTTCTTTTCTTTTTCCTCCCCTTCTTATTTTGTCCCGTCGCCCAAGATTGGGAGCACCGGAAAACCGAGGCGGTGGTCCGAGGTGTGTGGCGGCCGGATCCGGACAGATCTAATATCTCCCCTTCTTATTTTGTCCCGTCACCCAAGATTCGGAGCACCGGAAAACCAAGGCGGTGGTCGGAGGTGTGTGGCGGCCGGATCCGGACAGATCTAACTACAAATTTCCCAGATTTCCCTAATTCCTCAATTTAATTTTATGTGTGAAAAACTTAATTGTTGTGGTGATAATGGTTGAAGAAGATGTATGATTGTTCAAAGAAGGAAGTGAGGATTGAGGAAGAGAGCAGGTGTAAGGGTATTTTGGGGAAGTCAAAGCAAATTTTAACTTTTCTTAATATGCGTGCCCGGTCAAACCGGGAAGTTCTTTTTTGGACGGAGGGAGTATTTTTCAATACTTTTCGTATTTATTATGGAAGAAATTTAACTTAAGCTTAGTCTCTTAATTACTTTATCACCAACTGAATTTATAATTTTTTTATATAAAAATCAATTTGCAATCTTGTTTTGTCTAAAATTACGACTAAATGATACATTTGTCGAGTAAGGATGCATAAATATTAGGCTTTGTTCTTTTGGGTTGGAAAAAGAATGACTTATAAAAAAGGTATTTATATATGATGAATATACAATAACATTAAATATCCAAATTCATGACATACCACCTCAAATATGAAGAAGGATGAATTCTTTTTTATATCCAAAATTAGTTTTCTTACTTATTTATTTGGATGATCATTTAAATGAGTGACTTTTTAACACTATAATTCTTCCAACTCCTAGCTTCTTCCAACATCCAACTCTGACTTTTGCTAATTGCTTTTTTAGAAAAAAAAATATTTTTAACTCTCAAAGTGCTAAGGTATGCATTTCTTATGAAATGGAAATGATGGAATGATACCAAATGGTTTTAGTCGTAATATCTAGCCATGCCTAACTGTTTGAATAGTAATGGTATGGTACATGTTCTCTAAAAATACCAGACCTGTCACGGAGTCCATTTTTAACAATTTGCGTCAAAGAGCCGCTAGGTCTCATGTTTATAATTTTCATTCTCCACATCATTTACACTTTGTGCTCACATTTGACTAGATTGTACATAATCTATCTCATGCTTTGGAAGTGGATGCAAGCTTGGCGAGATTGGATGAAAGATCACGCCACGTTTTGATTAATGACGAGTCTGTATGTGATTCTTGTCATGCTCGCCTTGGAACCAAACTATTTGCTATGTACCCCGATGACACAATTGTTTGCTACAAGGTTAGCTCTTGAGTTTAGTAATTCCAAGCCTTTTAATCATTAAAAATACAAAAAAGCTCGGTTTCATTGATGCTTCATTTGGGGTTTTTCTGATTTGAGATTAGATCATTAACTGATTCTTCCTCCGTCCCAAATTAAATTGCATGCTCACTATTCACATGGTCAAACTTGGTATTCCTATTTTCGTTAGTTATTTGATAAAGTCATAGTCATGTCACCACTAGTTTCATAGATCTTTTGATGTGGTTTTTAAATATGTAATTTTCATTTTTTAATTCTACATCATTTTTCATATAAAATTATTTGAAAATAACTTTAGTCAAACATCGTAAACAGAAACAAGCGATTTAAATTGAGACAGAGGGAGTACTTCCTTCTTTTCCTTTTTGGGACATCTAAATAACTTTGCACATTCCCTTTTCCATTTCTTTTGGAATTTCTCTCCTTCACATCAAGTTTAAGAAATCACTCTAAATAGAAGTAAAACATATCATTTATCCTCAAACTAGGAGTTTCATGTTTTTATCTCCAAATTAGGAGTTTGCACTGTGACATTATGGCACTGTAAGTGGCATCCCATTGTATTTTTTGGTATTATATACTCCGTATTAGTGTTATTGGCATTATACTCTTATTTTGAGGATAAAACACATAGAACTCCTATTTTGGTACTTTCTCCATGTTTTACTTTAGTCCTTTTCTCATCAACTTTTCCCTTTACTTTCCAAGCAATTCACCCGGTTTAACTAATTATCTCTCATTAAATAACTCTACACAAATCTACGCTCCACTTTAATATTACTCTTAATATGCATGCAAGTCAAACTGTGCAATGCATATAGAAACGGAGGGAGTATAAGTGGGTGGGGCTAAACTGCCACTATACTATTTGTATTTCCACAGACTATTATAATAGGTAAATTGAGTGTCTCTGAAATGTGCAGTGCTTTCGCCGCAAAGGGGAATCCACTTCAGTGACCGGCCGCAATTTTAAGAAAGATAGTCTGTATAAGCCTGGTTGGTTGGTGACACGGTAACTGCATTGTTCAAATTTTGTGGTCGTCTTCCATTTCAGCTGTTCTGTGTCTACATCAATATGCTTCACAATATGCCGCAAAAGGGGAATCCACTGATAGAATAACTCAGAGAGGATGAGACGGTTCACAATATGCTTCTCTTGAGCATTTGGTGTCCAAGCACATGCCAAGGTGAGTTCGCGTATTTATGTGTATTATAGTGTATTAAAAATGACAGTCTGGCTGCCAAATGTTTGGCAAAACCTGAAAAGGAGTTTTTGTTTTGCATTGGTTAGTGTTTCACTGTTTTCTTGTTGAGTTTCATTGTACAAATTCATTGTGTTACAATGAGAGCTTTTATATCTCTGGATATTGAAATTAGTATAAGTATGGTGGAAGCTATCTTTTGGAGTGAGATTTTATCCCTCAGATAAGAAAGAATATTTTGAGCTTCATCATGTGGAAAATAAGTCCAAAGTAACAACTTGACTCTAGCATGTATGTCGCACGGAGTAGTATGGAGCTTTGTTTGAAAACAAAGGCATGTTATATTTTCTTGCTCTATCTGTCTCATAAAAAGGTTCTATTTTATCTTTTTCTATTCATCGAAAAAGTTTAGTTTTTCACTTTTGGGAACAATTTTGTGGTTTTAATAATTTCTTTTTCTTCTGTATTATTTTCAACTATAGAATTTTGATTTGGTTAGTCTTTATGCAAAGTCCACAGTGGAACCATTTTATGAGGCCAAGGGAATATATATGTTATATTGTGTTCTCTAAATTTGAATTTTTTTTTGAACTACAGGTTGAACAGTTCAGTAAAGAATCGATATATTTATATACATCTTTCGTTTTGTTTCATGTTGCTTGTTTTGTTGTATTCACATAGTCAAAAATTAATTGTTCGTTTACTCATTTTTGTCATTCATTTCGTAAGAACATGAATCTCTTATCTGTTAAAATTTGGATGTAGTTTCTAAATATGTAAATTTTAGTGTTTTTCCACTTCAATTTTCAAATAAATTGTATTGGTATATTAGATTGACATATAGCTAGTAAGAGTTTTTTGGCCCAACATATCCGGCCCGGGTGTTACTAGATTAGTGTGCCTAGGCTACACAAATCTAACGGGTTAGAGAACGTCGTAACGCATGATGAAGTGCGCGAACGTAGTCCGGCCCAAAACTCTTGAACGTGGTTAGCTGAAGAGACTCAAGTAGAGGGGAGAGGAGTATAATTAGGCAAATCACATCTCTTGTTCTCATCACTACCTACTAGTTATTACCCTATACAATATACATACTTAGCTCGTCCATGAAGATAAGATAATTCCTTTGATCTACTGCTTTAGTACGATCTACTTTGACTTTTGTTTTACATACAACCATTGAGTGATGTGGAGGAGAATATCGGATACAATTGGAACCAAACGGATCAAATTAGTTCATAATGATTGTTCTTTCTTTAACTGAAGTATTTCCTCCGTTCACCAAAACAGTTCTTGTTTTGACTTTTAGAGAATTTTTTTTTTTGTAATTTGGACCAAATCATCAAAAGTATTCATTCTCGAAACTATAACAACCGTGAAAAGTGACTAGAAAAAAAATCTTGAGGAGCTCCAAATTATCCTATTTTTAACCCTAATGTCTTCATAAATATTACACACACGGAAGAATATTTTGAGTCAGTGATGCCTGTAAAGGCAGCAGGTCTAAAGTATGGATAACTTGGGGTGACCCATGAGTCCATGATAAGATTTACTCTCCCCCTCCGTCTTTAAAAGATTGTCACTGTTTGACATTTTTGGTCAAATAGTGACACTTTTTTGACCACAAATTAAAGATAATTTAAAATTATTAAATATTATAAAAATTTAATATTTCAAAATTATATTTTAAAATAAACTCAATCTTGTTGAAGTTACATTATAATTAAATACACTTTTTCCATAATTCATGGTTAAAGGGTATCATAATTTGACCTAAAGAGTCAAACTGTGGCAATCTATTAGAAATAAATAGTATAAAATAAGAGGTAGCATAACTCTATTATTACTCGTCTCAAAATGAAATTTACACTTTAATTTCACGAAGTGAAAAAATCATATGAATATAAAATGAATGCTATACGATTAAAATTACTTTAGAAGTGAGAACTAATAGAAATCATTTAAAAAAGATTAAACTTTATTTTGAGACATCCAAATAAATTTATATTTCATATATGAATCATCCACAACCTAAAACAATATCATTACTATATGAGCACAGGTACAAATCTAGTTATTTATATTAAAAAATGAAGTGAAAAAATAGAGTTGAAAATGAAGGTGATAGGATAGAAAGAAGGTAAATACTACTCAGCATGGGTTTAAACCATTCTTTGTGGGCCTATAGATAAGAGCGATAAGACCATAAGCAAATGTCTAGTTACCAAGATGAATATTTTCTTTTTGTAAAAAAATAAAATAAAATAAAATACTCTTGAAGTGAGGTCTATTAGAAGTGTAGACTATAGATCCACCAAGGAAGCACTCTAGGAGGAAAAATAAATGCCATAGTAATGTTTTAAAGAACAGCAAATTCTTTCATAGATTTGAGGCTAATGAACTTTCAAGTAATTGAATATTTCCTTAAAATTGAAATAAACATTTTTGGTTTTTTTAAAGGAAACGTGAAAAGCTCTGTGTGGACCTTGAACCTATAATAGAAGTTCTCGAAAACTAGTTCATCTTCCCAAGGAGATTCGAAAATCTGGGTACTCCTATGGGCTTTAATGAATAAAGCTAGAGTGCCTCCAAATGAATGTCTCCATGGACGTCCCTTTAATGAGTAAAGCTAGAGTGCCTCCAAATGAATGTCTCCATAGACGTCCCCATGCATTGCAGAGACAGACACAGATCGTCTGTGTGTGTCTCTGAAAGACATGAGAGTGCCTATGGAAACATCTATTTGGGGACACCCTAGCACAACCCAAGCTTTAATTTGTAGCGGAGTAGTTTACAATGTTATATTATTGCCATTGTCTATATTGTGTGTATGCTTGTACCTTCCAAGCTATGAGCTATGAGTCATGTTTCTAGGGTCCTTTGTAACTTTAGCCTTGATCCAACGCATAATTGAGGTCTTGGATTTCCCCATGTCAAGAAAGAGGCCACACTACACTACTTACATCAAGACTATGCCAAGCCCCTACACTCGTGTTCAGTCACTACGATTTGATCCAGTAAACATTTCACGGACATTTTGCTCGTCGCCATAAATTCCTTCCGGATACCAACTTTGCAGTTAAGGGAAATGTGCAAAATTTATAAGACCAGTTCAATCAATGTGATGCAACAGCTACCATTGTTACCTTTGAGTAAAAACATTCAACAAAATTTTGTGAAATGTACTGTTGGTAAAGAGCTGTAAGAAGCAACTGCTTCCACACCACCAAATGACTGTATGAATAATTCTCATGTCAGGCCTATCAGAGTCCATTTGTCCTTACTCTCCTTTTTGCCAATCTCTTTTGCAAATCTGCATCATAATGTGCAAATGCAGCATCTAAGGCCTGCCAAAAACACAAGCATTTCACCATTAGCTCTGAGTTAGAAAACAGAAATTTATACACCACTATTTATTACCAAGCACAAATGAGTTCCTAAATTGTCTGACTATTTACGAAATGAACTTTGATGGAGAATGTAGTGGAGTAAACTAAGAAGGGATTCTATAGAACCATACCACCTTGTCTTATTTTCCAAAATTGACCCGCACAAGGACAAATACAGTCGGCTTTTATTTTGCTGGGTATACTATAATTCTATAACCACGTCAACCTACACTAGCAAAGAGAGGGTAAATGTATTGCTGACCTGAAGCATTGGCTGAACATGAAGGGAAACTTGATGTCTCAAATCTGACTGCACAGCTTCTTTGATCTCCTGCACCAGCACGTAAGAGAGTTATTAGGAAGCATTCACCATTTCATTAAAATTATGCAGTATTATGTATACTGTTCAGAATCCAAACACAATGAGACCCATTCATATTTCTTTTGTTCTGTTCTCATATTTTCTACATTTATTACCTGTAGCTTCAGGTATATCTTTGACATTGCATCCTTCACTTTGGTCACCTGTAAACAAAAGGCAGTGTAATCCAATTCAGGGAAGAGGTAAGGGGTTTGGTGGAAAGGAGGACCAACACAAAAAATCAATTACTCCATCTGTCCCTTCTTTTATCTTCTCACTTTCCTTTTTTGGATGTCTTTAATTAATCTTCTCACTCCCTTTTAAAGAAAGAATTGTTTGCTTCACATCAATTTTCTTTCCTTTGCAAAAATTTCAACCACACAATTTGACCTCTTAAACTCCATGTAAAAAGCAAATGGGAAGATTGAATAGGGCAGAGGGAGTACAAATTAAGGTAAATTTCCAAAAAGCATGTCAACTGACAGTCCTGTCCCAAAATACGATGCACAGGGATGACAAAGCTGTTATGGATGCCATTATGGAACGCACTTACCAACGTTGTTATGTGAAAGGAAGAGGCGCAGCACACATGTAGAGGTGAGCATGGGAGCTGATTTGCAGATCAGGTTTATCAGTTATTTATATTTGTATTTCCTTATTCTACTTGAGTCTAGTCTTTAATTACTTTGGCAAACAGTACTAGTTGGGACATGGTATAAAGGCTCGATCCGAGAAGAAAAATTACGAGACGGTGGAGTATATATTTTAAAACCCACAAACAGTACTATTAAATACTACCTTCGTCCAATTATTTCTGGGACATGGTATAAGGGCACGTAAATTAAGAAATGTAAAGTTGTGAGGTTGATATTGATGTGAGCCACACAATAAGGTATGCGACACAAGTAGTGAGATGGACAAAAAGGTTAAAGGGGGGCAAAAATAGTGTGGAGTTTAAAATTGACAAAAAAAAAGTGAGGCTAAGGAAGTATAGGAATAGAATACAAATAAATATTTGGGACATGGTTTGTCCAATTAATACTATTTGGGACATGGTTGTATTTCCTATATACTTGAGTCTAGTCTTTAATTACTATTTGGGACATGGTTCGTCCAATTATTTCTGGGACATGGTATAAGGGCACGTAAATTAAGAAATGTAAAGTTGTGAGGTTGATATTGATGTGAGCCACACAATAAGGTAAGCGACATAAATAGTGAGATGGACAAAAAAGGTAAAAGGGGGGCAAAAATAGTGTGGAGTTTAAAATTGACAAAAAAAGTGAGGCTAAGGAAGTATAAGAATGGAATGCAAATAAATATTTATCACGGAGTAATATAATAGAAATAATTAAATACTGTCATATATATGGGAGGTACTTCAACACTGGATTAGTAACGGCAAGAACAACCTTTACTCATTCAACAGTTCATTACAAATAAACCGGTTTACCTTGGTATAAAAGTATCTGTCTGTGATTGGATAAGAGGACCAGAAATGCTTCAATAGTTCCTGGATAGCTGTCCAGTGCTATAACAAACAATAAATACTCTTACACACCATCAATGCTATTAAATTAAACCAAAAGTATAAAACAAATTACTAACGTGTAATAGTTCATCCTTGGTTGTATTTGGCAACCTATCCAAAACACTATCCTGAGGGGCATTTCCAAGATTATATTTCGTACTTGATATGTTCTGAGTTAACGCACTGAACACCTGCTTGAGAAAAAAGAAATAATTCTTTAATTTCTTTTAGCAATATCTTGAATACAGCAGGAAAAAAAAACAAAGATATTTAATCTAACTCTTAATCATTAAAGGATATTTAGAGTTAATATTTTGTGTTACGGTTATGATAAAGAATTACAAATATGAAATATCCTTACATTTATGCCTTAAATGATAATAACGATTATTAAACGATATTTGAGAGTTGATACTCCTGCTTATTATACTCTCCAGACGATAACGAGCTCCCTTACATGTGCACCAAAAACTATTTCTCACACCACCTAATGAAGAAAAAAGATGCACCAATTTACCTTAAAAGAAGCTTCTGGGCTGATTATTGGCTCCAGTAATCCTTGTGAATGGATTTCTGAAATAAGTTTCTTCAAGGAGCTAAAAGCTTCTTCAGTGCTCACACTTAACTTATATTTTCTGTTACTAGCTACTGAATCCCCAAATGCCTTGATTGCATTAGCTTGTTGAGAATCAAAATAATCACGAGGATCCTAACTCAGAAAGAAAGCAATCATATTGCATATAAAATTTGACTGTAACATATGCATTTTAAAATTTTAATAAAATAAAGTTACCTTGATAGACAATGGAGCAACTGAGGGTTCTGGAGGTGCCTGAAGATCCTCAATCTCAGCCATTCGAGAAGCCCGTTTTGATCGCTCTTTGCCAAGGTTCTCGTCAGATTCTTCACCAACTAATTCAGATCGAAGGACAACATAAGCATATGATTTCTTATTAGGGTGTTTAAATATGTAGAAATCAATAATATCTTAAATTAAATCTTACCCACTTCACGTGTGCCAAGTGCTTCTGCTACAGCTTTTTGGTCACCTAACTCATCTATAATGAAAGGAAACCAAGGATAAATAATATCAAAGTCATCAAACTGATGGTTTAATCATCTACACAAATATAAGGTAAAAACATGATACATTTCAGCTACTC